TAAACTACGATGAAGTTCTATTCAAAACTTCATTTCTTAGTTACTGGTCATTTTTTAGTTGCTTAGAGACCACCTGAGTGGGGCTACTGTTGACTTTCAGAGGGCAAGAGATAGAATGTTTCCTTTATTGTACACACTTGCATTGAACAGAGCTAGTAAACAAATGAGGTTAAAGAAACCTTTTTCATAGCTCTGTGGGTCAAATTTCGGCATAAGAAAAATTACATAAAGAACTCACCATGCATACTGCTTACTGCTTACTTTGGACAGAGTGACATTCAGAAATTCTGGCTATCTCCAAGAAGACTTTGCAAGATCATTGCAAGGCTGGTGAGGTTTACCACAGCTAGCATACCTATCTCCAACCAGAATTTGTGCTCTAACTTCCCTCAGTGCTAGACTATTATTGGGGTGTGAAAGCCAAACTATAAAGCCCTTTCCCCCTAAGATGCGTTTGGCCATGGTATTTTATCACAACAATAGAAAGGAAAGTAAGACACTTAGCATCCTAGATCTTCTAATAACTAAACTCTGGTGTCTTCTCTTTTATGCATGCTTCTCTCATTTATCTGTCTTTTCCTCTTTGTGATGCTGAGGATTTAATCTAGAGCCTTGACAAGTTACACATGCATTCTACAACTGAACTAATTGGTTTGTTATTTGAGATCGGGGCTCAGTATGCAGCTCAGTCTTGCTTTGAACTCACTGTGTAGCCCAGACTGGTCTCAAACTTTCTTTCTATTGCCTCCCCTCTAGGTGCTGGGACTATAGATACATGCCACCACAGCTAGCATACCCATCTCCGTTTTGTTTTAGATATATCTCCACCTTCCCTAGCCTTTTCTATGTACTACTTTAACTTTAAAAACTTATAAAAGGATTTGGGGAAATTAGTTTTAGAATTGAACTGATTTTCAGGATAACTAGATAATTATGAAAAGAAATAAGACAAAAATTGCAAGTTATTTCTCATATGCAGAATCTAGATTTTTAAAAAAATGTTAAATGTTTCTATCAATGTTATATACAGCAGAAGCATGGGGCAGGTGACTCTTTTGGAGAGTGGGAGGAGATGAGACAAATATGAAGAAAGTACAGTGATATACATGAATATAAATGTCCTAATGAGACCCATAATTGTATATGCTACCTAAATAATATGAGAACTAAGGAAGGAAATAAACAGATGCCTAGTCATAGCAGCAGAGAGCAGTCTGGTGTTGCTGTTTGGGAAGGAGGAGAAACAAGTCACATTAGGCAAAAGTAGTTTATTAAATTACAAACCTTCTTAGTAATTTTTACCAGAAGCAACTTTGGAATGGTTTCTCCACAGACTCCATGCCTTGTATCATAGTTTCTCTATGGCACAACAGACTTTCTCTTGGCTTTGGAAAACTACAAGATCCTTCAGAAACATGGCCCCAAAATTCTGTACCTTAATGGCTGTCCCTCCCACCAGCCACACAAGCAGAGTTGCAGATTTTCTCTTTCCATTATTTTATTTGTCATTAATAGTGAGTTGCCTTCCCAGAAGATACTTGACATTGACTCAAAGAATCCAGTCTTAGAAATATTTGACAGTAAGAACCGTACCAGCTTGACCTTACTTTTCACAGTGTAAATGAAACAGCCCCTTTGAAATCTAATGAATTGACATAAAGACAAAAAAAGGGGAGTGGAGTATAAGAGCTCTCATAGTGAGGATGGGAAATTACAGATGTGAGTCTGTCCTTGAGGGTTGCTATCTGTGCTTCAGCAGACATTGAGGAAAAATGGAAAGATGCTCCAAGTCTACAGATTCCCGGCCCCATCCCCCTGTCCTGAAATGGTTGAATTGGTTTGAAAATCAGCTTGGACCAAGAAATTAATGAAGAATAGAGAACTTAGTGACTTTCTGTAGAGTCAGCTAAGAAAATCTGTACTTAATCACTCTCCAAAGGTGAAGGAGGTAGAAAATCCAACCCTGAAAGTACTGGCCCTGAAACACTCAAAGGAATGCCCTGAAAAAATTGGCTTTGGAATCCAGAAGAATATAAATGAAACAGTGATTTAGGAGACTGTTAGTCTCTCTTTCCAAATGCATTGATAATGGAAACTTGGGAGGGAGCAACTCCCTGCTTGGACTGTCAGTTCATTAGTAAATATTTGTTTCCCATTGAAAAAACAAAGGAAAAGCAGCCTGTTAGATATGGGCTGACGTCACTAAAAAGGTTGTTTCTTTCCCATGAAAGCCTGAAGTATTCATGAAGTGCTATGACCAGGCATGGAGGGGAACAGCAAACACATACATTTGTTTGTGTAATCCCCTCATCACCATGAGATAGTACAGTAGTGAGAAGTTTCTGTCCTGCCCAGTCCCCACAGCTGTTTCATCCCAAATAAATACACAGAGACTTACGTTAATTGTTACATAAACTGTTTGGCCTGTGGCTCAGGATTATTATTGGCCAGCTCTCTCTTAATTATTAGCCCATTTCTATTAATCTGTTTATCTGTGCATGGTCTTGGCTTACCAGTTATGCCCAGGTCTCTTGCTTGCTCTCAGCTACATGGCATCTCCCTGATTCCAACTACTACCTTTCTTTGTCCCTATTTGTACTTCCTGTCTGGCTAAATCCTGCCTGTCCATTGGCCAAAACAGCTTTATTCATCAAACAATAAGAGAAACATATATTCACAGCATACAGAAGGACATCCCCCATCATAGTACTGTCATTCTCCAGGTGACAAATGTCACTTGTCTAGAAAAAGACATAGGTGCTAAGCTTGGATGGACCCTAGGAACAGTAACTGTGCTCCTAACTGCACACAGCCCTTGTTCAAGGAAAGATCATGCACACTCTGCTGTCTTCCAGTTTCACAGCACAGCCAGTTTCACTGGTCTCCTTTCAGATTCTTTCATGTTGTCCATGTGTCACCATTTCCATGGTGGAACCAGTCTTAGAAATATTTTACACTGCTCAGCAGTTAAAGGCCTTAATCACTGGGACTTGTCCTTACAATGTGCACATGTGGCCTGGTTTTGCTTTTGTTTGTTTGTTTGTTGTTCTGTCAGGACAGGGTTTCTCTGTGTTGCCCTGGCTGTCCTGGAACTCTGTAAACCAGGCTAATCTCAAACTCAGAGATCCAATTAAAGGCATGCACCACCATAGCCTGGATATATGGCCTGCTTTTTGTTAAACTGATTAACAGAAATAGTTTATAGCTATTATTGGAGATGGTATAAGTTATTTGGGGTGGGAGTGCAGATGCTACAAGCCTAGGGGAAGCCTAAGAAGTCTAAGGATTAATTTACATTAGTGTGAGCTCTCAACTTTAGTTCACATTACTTTGGATTAAGTAGAAGTAAGGTGTTAGAAGATGTGGGGAGTGAAGGGTAAGATCTGGCCTAGCAATGGGCAGTGTGCTGCAGGACTGGTAGGATGTGCTGTTGTTAGTGCTTGGCCAGTGGCAGCTGTTTGACTCCTCGATTTCAGATGTTTTCATCTTTAAAATGAAGTCAAGATGCTTGACTTGTAATTTTCCAAGGTTCACTTCAGTCTCAGATACACACATATCCTTCCATAATCCTATGATCCTTTTAGATGAAACTTCATAATTTTTGATGTCATATTTCCTCTACTTTCCCGATATTACATCAGGTTTCATTTGGGGAACAAAAAGATACTCCCTGGACTCAATACAGCCCATCCTTACCCATTATTTTATTTTCATTCATTGTGATACAGGAGATAGATAGCTCTCTGTACATTGTAATGGAAAGGGACTCATCACAAACAGTGCTAAGTTGCTCACATAAGTAACAGTGAAAACAGAGGTTGAAATTAAAAGGAAGATTAAATGTTAACATGGTAAAGATGAAGAAGGCATCTAATAGTTGGGTAGGAGATAACCAGGTTACACAAAAAAGAAGAAGAGGAAGGACAGAGCTCTGGGCCACTGACAGCAGGCTAGCAGGCACCCTCTGAGGCTCTTGAGGAATGACTACAAAGAGTATTATCCTTTTTGTAAATTCTTGCTCCTAGTATACCTGATTGTGACAGACCAACAGTTAGGAATGATAGCATCAAACTAGAAGGTTCCTGCTAGACCATGTCAGACCACTCTATTTAAGGAGTTAAAAATGAGGTAACCAAGAAAGACTGCAGCTACATCTTAGTGACTAGGATGGAGTTAGCTCTTTGCCATGGTAAAGCTACAAGTTGGTCATGTAAATAAGAGAACAAAGAAAGTCTACTGTAATTGACAGTAATGAGACATTTACAAAGTTTGCAGGTAGTAATGTTGGTCAAATGACTAACAGCTAGCAGAAGGTCAAGGTCAAAGCTGGAGTCCAGGATGGACAGAGGGAGTTGTCATCTTCCCCGACAGTAGGCAGCCCATCAACACTATGTGCTCATTTTCCTGGTTGGTCCATAGGTACAGGCATAGTGAGTCTAGGCCCCCCATTGGCTTAGGCCTTGAAAACACAGAAAATTAATCATCCTCTATCCAGTTTCTGTCATGGCCTTACAAATCTTCTAGACAAGGAAAATTCAATGGCATTTTCCTCTCTTAGAAACTCCTCTGCTGGAAGGTTCTCTAATTTTTCCTCATTTCTGATTTTTTTGTAATAATTTTCCAAAATAAATAATTTAATTTTAGATGATGTAATTATTTAAGTTATACAATTATTAAACATTCAAATAAATAACTGCATAAATGATTTGCTCTAAAGTTCCAGCAGTGTATAAGCACAGTTATTCTGTCAATAAGTTTTTGTTGAGCCTGTCTCTGTGTCATCCCAAAGGAGAAGTGTATCTCAGATCTAGGGCAGGAAGCCCACTTCTGAGTTCTAGCGGGTGGTTAAGAGTGTGTCCTAGGCCCTGCTCCAAAGGATATGACATACTCTGAAGATCCCCCATGGAAGACCTCACCCTCCTTGAGGAGCAGAAAGGGTATGGGATAGGGAGTCAGTGGAGGGCAGGGGAGGAGGGGAGGGAGAGGGAACTGAGATTGACATGTAAAACAATCTTGTTTCTAATTTGAAGGAAAAAAAAAAGAGTGTGTCCTAGAGCCAAATTCTGGTTCCATTGTTCATTGATCCTATAAACATGAGTTACTTAATCTTTTTGTATCCATTTCCTAGCAGAGAAACAGAATAAATTCCAAGCTATAGCACCTATCTATAATGAGTTAGTATTTGCAAAGCATTTAAGACATGCTTGGGCATATCGTAGATGCTCAATTCTAGATATTTGTGTCTTCATTCACACCCACTACCCTGTGAAACTCTACTCAATTTCCTCTCTTCACTTTGATTTCTGAATCTAAAATAAGTCTAATAAAGCTTTACTACCTAGATTGGAGGGATGCCAATCCAGTGATCTCTGGATCCATTTCCTATGAAACTGTAATGGCACCTGTGGATAATGAGGACATGCTGAAATCCTATACATCTGCCTAGTACTACGGTGTAGAGAAACTAGTCACCCCTTCCAGCTTGTGTTTTTGCCCAAGTCTGTAGAGGTGCCTGAAATCTTACTTTGGAAATCAGTCCTAAATTATAGCAAATGAAACATCCTCAGAGAGAAGGAAAACATCAAGTATGCAGAACTAGAATCTCTTCCCCTTGTCCTGTGTATGTAGTTTATGAAATTGGTGCGATGATACCTTCTTTCCACAATCTCAAAGAAGTCAGATTTTTATCAATGGGTATTTCCTCTAGAGCGGAATCTTTTTCAGAATGGCACCATCAGATCTCTCTCTCTCCTTTTTTCCTTTTTTTTTTTCTTTTACCCTGCCCTGATGTTTACTTTGTTTTGTTTAAATATGTTGTTTTGCTCTGCTGGAGATTGAGCCCAAAGCCTTGAACATGCTAGGTACACATTCTGCTACATTCCTACCTTTTCAATTTAGGTCAGTTAATAATTCCAAAATGTCAGAGTCAGAGTCATCCAGAATGGATGCATTTAGCCACAGAAACCAATTAGGGTTTGTTCTTTTCTATAAGGTTTAGTGGAGTATACAGCTTCTTTGTGTTTTCCTTTTTTGCAATCATTCATCGCTAAAAATGAATTATTGCAATCAAAATTCCTCAGATCTTTGGGTTTAACAGGATGATGTCCCAAGTGGTCACTAGGCAGTATGATCGCCTTGCCCTGTCTCCTAAGATTTCTAGGTCTGCCACATATAATCAGAACAGTGTTTTATCCAGTCCGTGCTGGGTTTCTTTGGTTTTGCTTTTTTGCACAAAATGAGCAATGGAGACCAAATTGATAGGTATTTTAGACCTTTAAAGAAATATCGATCCTTGGGAATCTTTGGTGAATGACTTTAACCAAGAAGGAACATTGTGTGCCAAAATCGTGCCATGTTCGGCCCATTTATTTGGTTGCAATACCAAAGCAGAAAGGAGTCACTACTCCTGATTAGAAAGAGACCTGAGGTTGGCCCATAACTCAGACAGTAATCATTGGCACACGGCTGGGGCTGTTTATTTTGCTGCCCTACAGTAGGTGGACTCCGGGTGTGGTGGGTGTGCTAGCTAAGTACCTGTTTGCAGAACACCCAGGCAGGGCAGAGCTAAAACAGCAGTAATCTGAAACCAGTCTAGTTGGTTTTCCTCCGTAGCAGTCAGAGAAAATCTGCATTCCAGATGAAACCTGCCGGCTGGCTGAAGGAAAGCATTTGAAAACAAAAGGCATTCCAAGGGTAGTAAATTAACTGCTCTAAGAGTTCTGGGCACTTTGAGAGGATCTTTTTCTTTACTTCCTGTCTTTGATTAGGGGTTTGCAGGAGGCTGTTGATGTGGGCGAAATGCTGGGTTTGGGGCCTGGCTGGCCAGGCCTCTGATTAAGATCTGGGTGGAAAAAAAAGGGCTCACTTCACAAGTCCTTGGGTCATTTTCTGCTGATTCACTTTGGAATCTCTTGGGCTGCACCAGGCGGTGGTTCAAGGCTGTCAGCACATTTAGGAACCTCAACTTGCTCACCAATGAGGAAGTTGAATGTTACCAGGAGAATCGTAGGCACGGGGCGGAGCTCCTCCTGAAGTCCAGGGCTGGGATTACGGGACAGACTGACTTTGGCTGCGACAAAAAGCCTTTTGTCCAGGGAGTAAATACGGAAGTCCAGAAGAGCAGCCTGCCTGCCCATGTGTAGTAAGGTGTGCGGCCTCAGCTGCTTTGGGGCATAGAGTTGCCCAGACTTAACAAGTTGCCCTGGGCACGCCGGCATCGAACAAACCGGAAGGGAGGGCTCTGTGACCTGAAAGAGACCAAGTGTGTTTTCTGAGCTGCTGGAAGCCTGGCTCTCTCCCCGGTCCTGTGGCTCCCTGTCCTGTAAGTCAAGAGCAGATGGAGCGGATAAACTGAGCCGAGCAGGGCAGGTAACACAAGGAAGAACTTCTGTCAAGGGCACCGCAGGGACATGGAGGAGGTTGGAAACTCTCTCAACAGCAGAGATGTGCTGGAACCAGACAAACCCGAAGCCGGACTTGAGATGGCTCAGTCGATCCTGAGTAAATTCTCTATGAAATCCCTGTTTGGATTTACAAGTAAATTGGACTCCTTGGATCCTGAAGAAGATGCTGTGCTGAAGGCATTTCGTAGTTTAGAGGTGAATCCTGCTCCTGAGAGAGACCATCCCAGCGAAGGCTCAGATCAGCCCCAGGCAGAGGCTCCAATTCCACCTGGTGCAGAACATGATGGGGAGTCTGCAAGGGCGGAGACAGGTTCGGAGGGAAGTCAGGGGAAAGACATAGAGGACGCTTCTTCCCCTGGTCAAGAGCTGCTTCCACCTGCCACCGTGAGAGTGGATAGTGAGGATGTCATCTGGGTCCATGGGACCCTGGTTCACACCACCAGTGATTCCGACTCTGAAGACGGAGGCCAAGAGGCAGAAGGAGGAAGCGGCCTCGATAGCCGGGAGTCCACCACTGTTGTTTTATCTGAACCATATCAAGAGCCCAAAGAAAGACCGGGAGATTCGGGAGAAAATAAAGACACCGGGGAAACTGATGATGCACAACTCTGTGGTGATTCTCAGAGAACTTTACCTGAGACAAGTAGCACACTGGACCCTGGCGGTGATGGTAGCCATCCGGCAGAGCACGGCCACGGGCAGGGCCAGGCTGAAGGAGAAACGTTCCAAATCCCACCTGCAGCAACAGACCAGACTGTTGGTGCCACTGAGAGTACTGTTTCTAAAAGACAGAGAGAAGCTCCTGGAGAGAAGTCCTTCCAGCTTCCAGCTTTCTTTAGTGGGCTCCGTGTGCTGAAGAAGGGGGCTACAACAGAGGCGGGGGAGACCATCACTGAAATCAAACCCAAGGACGGGGACTTGGCTTTGCTCAAGTTGACCCAGCCTGTTCATAAGTCTCTGGCGCAGGGAGGCCCGCAGACAGTGAAGGGCCAGGGTAGAGCAACTGATCCGAAGGCCACTCCTACTCTCCTGGAGCAGCTTTCTCAGCTACTCAACATTGACATGCCAAGAACTGAACTGAAGGAAGCCGACCCCGACTTCCGTGGGGCAGACGAGATGGGCTACAGTACTGACCAGGAGAGCCAGAAGAGTTCTGGAGATGCCCAAGCCCAGGGTGGCCAGGTGAAGTCAAAGCCACCAGAGACTGCCCTGGAGGCCTTTAAGGCCTTATTCATCCGTCCCCCTAAAAAGGGGACCACAGCTGACACCTCTGAGCTGGAAGCCCTCAAGCGAAAGATGAGGCATGAGAAGGAATCACTGCGCGCTGTGTTCGAAAGGTCCAAGTCAAGGCCAGCAGACAGCCCCTCTGACCCCAAAAGCGTATGTAGAATTGGGTTCTACATTTTGACATAAAATATAATGCTGTAATTTTTTTCTTTTCAGGTTTCTTGTAAAAAATGAATACTAGTGGCCTGTCATTATTAGTATTTTACTTCCTTTGGCTAAAAAAATTAGTAATAATGATATTAAATTCATCTTGCAAAAGAGTATGAAGCTTTTTCTCTAACGTAATTGTTACCTGTGTGAGGATGTGTTGGAAGGAAGGGAAAAATGTGCACCCTGAGTTTAAACAACAATGGCCATTGTGCTTCTAGAACATTAGCAACATGGGGAAGTGATACTACATATGAGTGCAAGTCTAGCCCAGATTTATAGGGATTTCCTCACCATTCAGCTATACTGCTCTGAACACAGGCTATCCTCTGAGAATGTGCCAGTTAGCAAAACGTGTGCTTATGATATAACTGAAATATTCTGTGTTGTTTGTTTCCTGGCTGAGTATTGAATTTAGAATGAGAACTCATTTTTAATCCCAACTCTGTCATTTATGGCGAGGTGACCCTGATAATCTCTGAGCCTGCCTCCCCATATATGAAAAGAGGAACTTAGCCCTAACCCTAATGGAAAAAAGAAATGAAATCAGAGCACAGGAAAGTTTAGCTAATACAAGATGTAATTGTTCAAAGAAAGTTAATTTATAATGGCCAGGGAGGGTTTGGCATTCAAAGTTCATGGGAACAACGGATAGAGTTTCTTGTTAAACATCAAGTCAATATAGGATCATCATATCTGCTCGTATATTTAATTACAATGAAAAATTAAAATCTCCAGAAAAATTGTCATAGGTTGTAGTTAAATCTAAACACACTATAGCATTATAGTTGAAAATTCAACTCCTATTTAAAAAAAAAACCTTGCACTTGCTTTTATTTTGTAATAGAAAGAATTAAAATTAGTGTGGATTGCTTAGAGACGTGTGTCTTCAATTATTGCTAATGCTCATGGAAAATGCAAACTTAGTCCTTATTGTAAATAGTATGGGGCTGTTTGGAGTCCATTTGTAAATATTTCTATAAATGTGCCAGAAGTTAATGCATTTGTTTTTGTTTCTGCAATTCAAAAATTACTTGCACCCTTTAAAAAGCTGAATAACAAGCATAATGCATAAAGGGTTGCATGGCAGGTAGCCTTGAGGGTTTTTGCTTGTTTGTTTTTTGTTTTGTTTTGCTTGCTTTAGTTTTTATCCCAACTGACCCTTTACCCTTCTGGATAGAGGTTCCTACTGTACTAAGATGCCTCAGTTTACAAGTACTGAGAGAACCTGCAGCTGGATGTTAAATCGATATTAGGATTAGTGCTAGGATGTGTGTTTCCAAGAATCAATTGGCTCTGGCCATATTTCACTTAAATTATCCTTTGCGTGTTTTGCACAGCCTGACCAGAGCCCCACAGAGCAGGACGACAGGACTCCTGGCAGACTCCAAGCTGTCTGGCCACCCCCAAAGACAAAGGACACAGAAGAAAAAGTGGGACTGAAGTATACTGAAGCAGGTAACGCGAAAGGAAGCTGGCACCCAGGAATGAGCCTCTTCCTGCAATGGCTTTTAGTGCAAGTCCAGAGAACCCCGAATGGGGTGGGGGGAAGGGGCTGGTTTCATTATACATTACAATGCAGAAGGCTTCTTCTGTTTTTGCTCCTGGTATTAAAGCACAGCACTCCGCACATTTACTGCAAGTGAACCTCTCAGGAATGAACGGTGACTGCAGTGGAATGAATGAGAGGGGGCATGCGTGTCAAGTAGGGGAGCCTTTGGGAAGCAAGATGGAGCAGGTAGATTACAGATTCCTCTGGAAGCTGGCGGTTGAGGCACATATAATGTTTGTGAGAGCTAGCAGCATCGGTAGAAGAGGCAAGCATGATTCTCTAGGACTGTAATCTGATGTCCTGTTTGTCTCTGAGTAATGTTTCCCAGATAAAGGAACCTTGTGCGACTGAACATACAGATGCCATATCAGTTACTTGCTCACTTTGTGAGACAAAGCTTCATTTAATGCATGTCCAATTTTAAAGTAATCTAACTCGCTGGAAAACTTCCCAGGAACTCAACGTGAATCTATTTAAATGGAATAGGACTCTAGATATTTTACTCTTTAAGTGAAAGCTTCACATGAAAATTAAAAAAATCATGTAGAACTAGACATGGATATATTTTAATTGTGTGTGTGTATGTGTGTGTGTGTGTGTGTGTGTGTGTGAGAGAGAGAGAGAGAGAGAGAGAGAGAGAGAGAAAGGTGGGGGGAAGGAGACTGGTTTTTATGGAAACCTCTATTGTATGGGAATCAAGATTTACTAGACTCAGGCTGGGCATTGGTGGCACACGCCTTTAATCCCAGCACTTGGGAGGCAGAGGCAGGTGGATCTCTGTGAGTTCGAGGCCAGCCTGGTCTACAAGAGCTAGTTCCAAAACAGCCTCCAAAACAATACAGAGAAACCCTGTCTTGAAAAACAAAACAACAAACAAACAAAAAAGATTTACTAGACTCAGTACTGGTTAAGTGAAGTTTATTTGGGGAGAGTGTATTTACACAAGAAACCAGAGACTGCGGCCGGTTCCAGCTCCAAGGATTCACCCAGGCTGCCCTCTGTGACCAGACCGAAAGCAAGAGAGAGTGCTGGGGTCCAGGACGCCAGACATAGTCCTGCCTCCCTCACAATCCACACCTGTGACCACGAGACGGGCATGGTCAGTGCTAAGGCGAGGGCGGGGTGGATATCTCCCTACAGACCTTTACTTTCTGTTTATCTGACATACCTAGGGACTGTCACTGCAAAATATGGTGACATTGCCTTTATTTTACTTAAATTAGAGGACTACCTAGAAACTGGCAGGTGCTAGAAGAGGCTTTCTGAGAAACCAACCACCTCTGGTCTTTGCTGAGGAGTCTCTTAACTAGAGTCATGTGGTAGGAAGAGAAAGGAAAGCTGAAGTCTGTCGAGCACCTGGACACGCTGTTGCACAAACACCACTGTCTACTATTCCAGCCCTGATCTTTAATCAGGGGGAAAGTTCTCCTGTAGAAAAGAATCATGTACAATCTTTTGCCTGTTTGAGCCCAAGGACTTTGCATTTTCCATTTTCCGCCCTCCTTGTGGGACGGGACACTCTTCATTGCTAAATCACATGACTTCCTCACTTTTGTGTCTGTTCCCGTTTCACCCACATGTTAGCAGTTCTTTGCAGTGAGTCTTCAGGAGGTGAGGGAGAGCCCTTTCTTTTCCCTCTTTTTTTTTTTTTTTTTTTTCCGAGACAGGGTTTCTCTGTGTTGTTTTGGAGGCCTTCCTGGAACTGGCTCTGCAGACCAGGCTGGCCTTGAACTCACAGAGATCTTGCCTGCCTCTGCCTCCCGAGTCCTGGGATTAAAGGTGTGCACCACCACCAACGCCCTGCGTTCTTTTTCCTCTTTTATAATGTGACCTTTTTTTGCTGTTGGTAAACATGTACATTAAGTTCAGTCTACATAATTATGGAAAAATACTTCTTTATGTAAGTGACTTGAAGTTTAGTTGGTTCAATAGGCTTGATTCTTTTTTTGTGATATCAAGTATTAGTAGCTGAGAATACGCACATTGACAAGGGAGTCTGGAGGTGGTCTCTAGCCTCCACTTACCCAATCACAAACGTGTGGTTTTTCTCGGACAGTAACTAATTCATAGTGTGTTAATTTTCTGCACTGCTTTTCTTATGGGATGAAAACTACTGTATCCTTAGTGAAAACGCATGCAGCCATTTCAGTTTTCTGGCATACCCCAGAATTGTAGTTCTAGCTGTGATCACTGTATTGGCTCACCCTCCAAGTTATTTGCTTATGGTAGTCCAGAGTGGGTGATTAAATGACCTGAAATTTGCCTTAACTAACAAAACAAAACAAAGAATACAATGAGTCCGAATTCCTAAGTTAGAGAGTTTAGTCTTGATCTAATTAGAATATCATGGCAACCTTCCTTGCCATGATGGACATTTGCTGAGAGAGAAGGAAGTAAATGTCATAAGTGCTTCTTGAATACAGTCTAGTTCAGTTTTGAATTGCTCCTTAGTCTTTGTTTTATGGTATTCCTTTGTCTTCCACTTCTGAAGGCTCATTGGAGCATCCAGCCCCGGTTAACCATAGCTATTGTTCCTGGTCTTTCTGACAAGCGTTGTCAGAGTCATTAAGACCCTTGGTGACCTGGAGAGAAGGAGGCAGACGAAAGAGATAATGATGATAACTCTTTAGGCGGAGTAACACAGCAGGCTGACAATGCAATCCCTGGAAGCCTCTCTTTCCTTGTCTGGCACTTGGCTGCCTTGGAACCTTCTAGTAGTGATGTATTTTAGGAGATGTGGCTTCCATAGAACAAGATAACCCATACATTTTGTACCTCATTGGTATTTTTGCAAAAGTTAATACACACACACACACAGACACACACACACACACCTCACCATGCTTATCTTAAGCTCTGCTGTTGAGTAAACTGAAATCTCAGCAGAATTTGATGTGTAATTGAACATATTTTGTGGACTCCCCATTGGCCTCTCTGTCCCTGGGGAAACTGACTGAAATAGCCAGTCTCTACGGAGCTTGGAGACAGAGGTCTGATTAAAGGCAATTCAAGGTAACTAGAGTCTTGAACTTTTTCATCTTTAGTTTTCTTTATTCTTGTCAGAATTTATTGCTCACTAATGTAAAGAAACAAGAGAGTAAGCCTTCAGTATTTCTCTTTCACATGTACAGTTGGAATTCTGTTGAGATAGGTAGTCAGTCCATGTAAAGCCTAGCTTTTCCATCATGGGTTCCCCAAACTCCACCCTGGATGCCCTCAGCCACTTTATTGACATTTCCTAATCAGTATTCTTTTGGGAAGCTTAAGAAAGCACTTAATCCTATACATGAAATTTCCTTCAGGATAAAAAGGAAGGGGACTAATATAGAAGAACCTGTTATCCTAACTGGAGGTTTCTAGAGGTTTCTTAGCTTATAATGGTACTTCACAGTGGTTGCTCATGCCTACTGCCAGCATGCTCCCTCCTGCCATTGCTTAGCTATCAGCATCTTCTGCAGCTCAGGACCCTGTAGTCTTTTCTCTCGGCAGTAAACCTTTTGGGTTCTTCTGGAGTGTGCACTGGCCTCAGTGTGTCCTGTGGCCATATTAAGAGAATTGCTACTTCCAACCTCTGACCCCTTGGAGCCTTGGTGATGTGCCAGATGAGAGCTGCCACTTAGTTGTCTTACACAGGGACTGGTGTTGGCCTCTACAGAGGGGTTGAGTGGGGAACTCAGTGTCAGTCATACTGTGCCTTGAAGTGCTTTGTTCCCTTGTCCTCCTCCGCCACGTCTTGTGCTGTGCCTTCCTATGTTGTCGCTATTAGTGTGATCCTGTCTTGGGTTCTGAATGTCTCACAGTTACTGTGAGTGAACAGAGCATTTTACCCCCCACTTTTCTTGGCTTGGGCTAGGACAGTCTGTGCAGCAAAGTTCATGTTCCTCTTGGAATTGCCATTCTTTCTCCCAGTACTTCCCTTTGCAATGGATACAAGCTGTGGATGGTCTTATGTTGTTTTTTAAGTGGGTTTCTTTGTCTTCTTTCCTACTGACCAAATTCAAAGAGAAGCTAGGTTATCTGGAGTCACTTAGCAGACAGGTCATAAAGAAAGGTGACAGCAAGACTCAAGAGGCAAGTTAATCATGCCCAACACATACACTACCTGCTGTTCCTGAAGTGGTTTTTCTGCTCCCCTTCCTCCCTCTATTTCATAGCAAAATTTAATTTGGAGCATAATCTGAGTTAGAGATCTGAGATTACGTTTTTCATGAATTGTGAATTGATTTCACAGTAGGGTTTTAGGATAACTGTCCTCTCTTTGAACTAAGTTCATGCGTGCTTTGGACTTCCCTTGGCTGTGTTTGCATATTTCATTGGCATCTTTAACTCCGTGGGGCCACAGCACACCTCACAGCACAGTACCTCCAGTTCTCCTGCATTCTTTAAAAAATAATTTTGGCTTTCTGATATATCTATTCTTCTCAAACATCACAGACAGGCCCTTTGGGGGAATTTTTTCTTGGGATTACATTGCCTGTTATGTTAGTGTGTGAAGGGAATGAAAGTGCTTAGGGTTTTCACGTTTTATAGGAGTCTAATAACTTAAGCTTCATGGCTTTTGTGCGCTTTCTTCCTAAGTCTAGAGTTTGCCCCAGTTTGGGTCGCACTTGGACTCACTGAAGACAGAGGGCACCTTCTCTGAGTCTTTGCCTAGTGATTCTCAATGTTTTGAGACTCCTTTAAAACATACTGATGGGGCTTGAAAGATGGCTCAGCAGGTAGAGCACTTAACTTCTCTTTCAGAGGACCAGGGCTTGAATCCTATCACCCACATGGCACCTAACAATATGTAACTCCAATTCTAAGGGATCCAACATCCACTTTTGGTTTCTGAGGGCACCATGTGCATATGTTTCACAGACATACATAAAGACAAAACACTCATACACATGATATAAAAATAAAT